CCTGTGGTTAGGGCACATGGCTGTTCAGCCAGCCTAGAGGTGTGTGTGCCAGGGATGGGCCCACAAAGCTGTTTCTTGGGCTCTGGACATGGCACATGACCACTCACTCGTCCGTGGACATAGGCTGACCACTCCCTCACTGGTCAGCCCCCAGCTGACACACTCCTAGGCCTGCCCAGCAGCCCTGCACCTGTGCCCAGGACCTGAGAAACATCCTGGAAGTCCACTCCTGATTGACCCACTCCTAGGCTGGCCAAGTAATCATGTGCCTGAGTCCAGAGCCTAAGAAACAGCCCAGTGGGCCTGCTACTGGTAGACAAACTGTACCACACTGCCTCCACAAATGTGTGCAGTCACTGAAACACTTGCAAACATCACCAGTATGGTTTATAGCTGAAGAAACAGCACAGAGATACTATATTACTTTGTCCACGTAGAACCAAAGCCAGCGCACTCCACACAGTTGACACATCAAGAGTCACCTATAGGAATAAGTCTTTCTCTACAAAATTTATTAAATAAAATTGGAAGAGGTGACTCTTTCTCAACAGATGCAAAAAAATAAAAAATAAAAAAATAGGCACATATCAAACATGAAAAAGGAAGAAAACATGTCACCTTCATAGGAACAGAATAATTCTGCAATAACAGACTCCAGCAATAAGAAAATATATTAAATACCAGAAAAAGAATTTGTGTTAGGTCATTCTTGCACTGCCATTAAAAATACCTAAGACTGGGTAAGTTATAAAGAAAAGAGGTTTAACTGGCTCACAGTTCTACAGGCTGTACAGGAAGCATAGTGCCAGGATCTGCTTGGCTCCTGGAAAGGCATTAGGGAACTTACAAGCATGGCAGAAGGCAAAGGGGAAGTTGATGTATCTATCACATGGCAAGAGTGGGAGCAAGAGAGAGAGTGGGGAGGAGTTGCCACACACTTTTAAACACAAAATTGTTGCAACAGTTTTGTTTTGTTTTGCTTTGTTTTTGAGAAGGAGTCTTGCTCTGTTGCCCAGGCTGGAGTGCAACGCGCAATCTCTGCTCACTGCAACCTCAACCTCCTGAGTTCAAGTGATTCTCATGCCTCAGCCTCCCGAGTAGCTAGGATTACAGGCATGCGCCACCACGCCTGGCTACTTTTTTGTATTTTTAGTAGAGACGGGGTTTTTGCCATGTTGACCAGGCTGGTCTTGAACTCTTGACTCCACATGATCTGCCCGCCTCAGCCTCAAAGTTTTGGAAGTGTTGGAATTACAAGCGTGAGCCACTGTGCCTGGCTGCAACTATTTTTATTAGATCTTTGGGGCCTGTGGGGCTCCCTCCGGCAGGGGTGTGGCAGAGAGATAGGCCATGCCCTTACAGGACCAGCCCTGTGGAGGGAGGCACGCCTAGGTCCCAAACCAGCCCTCAAACCTGTGTGACTCAGCCCTCTCAGTTTTCTGAGAGTGTGGCCTCCTCCTCTCCAACTTCCAGTGCTGGGCATAGATCCCAGCTTGACCCTGCCTAAGCAAGGGTGGCAGACCTGGGAGAATAGGACTTACTCTCGGGCCCCTCCTTCAGACCCTCGGTGTTGAGTTCCAGGTGTGTTGGGGAATCCAAAGGGCTCCCAAGCTACCAGAATGCACTCACCTGGAGCAAAGCACCCATGCTGGGCAGCAGAGGCTGCACTGTGGACACACTCCTTTGGGGCAGCCAGGCAGAAGCCCTGGGAGGGGCTGGCTGACAGGTGGGCTTGCAGGACACACATGCCCTAGTCCCACAGGGAAGCCAGCACTGCTTTCTCCACGGTGGTTAGCTGAGACCAGAGCTTCTCAGACGGAGACGGAGAGCCCTGGGGGATGGACACTTATGGCCCGGCTCTGTTGGAGCTGTCCTGTGCACAAAGGTCCCTGGCTCCATGCCTGCTACATGTCTGTTTTCATTTAATCTCCAGGAAGATCCGCCTACCAGCTCAAACATCTGTGAGGACTGTGGGGTCCCCTGCAGCTAGGATCCCAGAGGTCCATGGTGAGAGTGGACATTCCCTCAGTTCCTTCACTGACTCATTCCCCAGGAGTCAAACCCAGCCCTAGCATTCAGGCATTCCACATGCCGTTCCCAGCTTCCTGCCCCTTCAGCTTCAGCATCTGTATCTTTTCTTCGTCCACATTTGGTATTTTCTCTCCAAATATCTGTTCAAATACGTTGATTTAGTTGAAATACTGTTGTCTCTCCGTGGGAGCAGCACTTCCCGCCTGCATCTAGTCGGCCATCTTGCCCACCCTCCCGGAATTCTTGGAAAAGGAGTCTTTCTGCCAGATGCTGACCTATCTTCTTGCTAGTAGGGTATATAATAAGGTAGTTTTTCAATTTGAGAGGCATATCTGAAAAGAGTTCTCTCTCCAAATTTTCCTTGGAGTTGGAATTAAATTTATAACACTTGCCTGAACTATTACAGCAATATAAACTTAATACTTCTTTGTCAACCTAAAAATTTAGGAAGAGAAATAAGACATTTTTATTATGTATAAAGGCAAAAATGGTTGTATTCCTATGTTATGGATTAGTCACTATCTTCATTTGGCTCAAGGTGAAGAAGACTAAGAAGAAATGTCAAAACCCATTTCCCCCCTTTTTCTTTTCAAAGGGGAGCAAGCAGTACTTTAAGGGGAGAAGCCGGCAGGACGCCCTCCACGCAGGCCAAGAGGAGACAGGATTCTATTTCTTCTTAAAGACGCTCAGCTCACATTTTTCTGTTTTTAACTTTATAGCTGGACACAGAATCTTTAGAGTTGAGAGTCTTTACAAAGTTGGCCGAGTAGATTTCCGGCCCAGACTAAAACCTTCTCTCCTCCTTTTCTTTCCAGGATCTCTTTCCAAACACATGCCTGTATTTCCTGTATTTCCAAACACACACCTGAATTTAAAATGTTACTATCAGTTGAAGTAGCTAAGGCTCCTAATTAACGTGTTTATTAGACACGTTTCTTAGAAAGGGATTAATAGATTTCCTTTTATTCCTTGATCCACTCTTCAGGAATATTTCACTCATTCATTCATTCAAATGACAAATATTTACTGAGCTTCTACTGTGTGCCAGGCATACATCTAGACTCTGGGGATCCAGGTAGTAATAGGAACATCTTTCTCATCATGGAACATAATTTATAGTGAGGGCCATGGACAAGAACAAACATGTATGTAATACATGGGTGATATGATTTGGATATTTGTCCCCTCCAAATCTCATACTGAATTGAGTTTATTTTGCTCTAATAGTTTAAGCAAGTGTTGTCATGGGGGTGGATCCCTCGTTAATGACTTAGTGACCTCCCCACTGTAATGAATGAATTCTTGCTGTTAGCTCACATAAGTACCGGTTATTTAAAGGAGCCTGACATCCTTCTCTTGCTCCTACTCTTGCCTTGTGAAACATCAGCTCCCCCTTTGCCTTCCACCGTGATTGTAGGGTTCCTGAGGCCTTACCAGAGACTAAATGGATGCTGGTGCCTTGTTTGTACAGCCTGCAGAATTGTGAGCCAAATAAATCTCTTTTCTTTATAAATTACCCAGTCTCAGGTATTCCTTTAGAGCAATGCAAAATGGATTAACACAATAAATATTAAAGGTATGGGGATAGAGAATGATATCATTGTGGTCAGGGAAAGCCTTTCTGATAGGAGATGTGAGTGAAGTGTCGGGGAAAGCTATGTAAATATGTATTGGAAAGGCATTCTAGGAAGAGAGAACAAGTGCAAAGACCCTGAGTTGAGATTGTGCACGGCCTGTGGAATATCAAGGACAGTATTGAGGCTGGAGAGGATTGAGGAGACACAGTACGGAAGAAAATGAGCTTACAGAGGTGGCGATATGAGATGAGATTTGAATGTGTATTTCTGTACCTCACTGGGTTAAATGAAAGTTGAGGGCTCAGTTTTTAGATATGGTGACATGCGTTTACCTGTGATGATTATATTTATCTGAGAATAGTTCACAAGTGAATAAAGTATATGTTTTAATTTCAAGTGCTTTGATTAAGTCTTTAATGAGGTGCAAATTTTGTGCTTGCACAGTATTTTATATTTAAGATACTTTAATTAGAATTGAATTAAAAGAAGCTGTAGTAATCATCAAGTACCATCTTTTTATTTCATAGATGAGTCAATTGTGATCTAGAAAGGGTAAGTAATCATATTAATAGCATAATCACAGCTATAGCATTCTATGTCAAGCACTATGCTGAGTGCTTTACACACTTGATCCTCACAGCAGCCACATGGGGTGAGCATTATTGTCCCCATGGGGTGTGCCCTAATAAGTGGCAGAGATGTTCAAAGGCAGCGGCAACCTTCCTCTCTGCTGACAGTGTGGCTGTTTTTAAGAGAGGCTCTCTGAAGATTCATGGTTTATTTTTAGACGTGAAAAAATTCCAGTATCTAGGCTGCTTCAGTTTTGGGACAAAGCCTTTTGTATTTCCTTTGCTTGACTCCAAAGCCCAGGTTGTTGACTACTGTGCTGTATTGCTTCTAAGCGATAATGTTCTAAGTTGATAATTGGGAGAGTTGGGTCTCAAGCCTCTAAACAAACCCTTTATATTCCCAGTTTGGTGATGTCTTCAGGATATCTCCTCTCCCTAACTCTTTGAGCAAGCACTGGATCATACAGGGAGGTAAAGGGGTGTTAAAGCCGTCTCTGTTAGGTGTTCCTACTGCCATAGCCCTGTCTTCAGGTCCCCAGGTCCTCTCACAGAGCCAGCCTTCAGTGATTGTTTGAATTTTGGTCAAGGTCTACTTCACCATTTTTACATGCCCTAAATTATTTTGCCATGTTGGTCTAGGAATGTTTCCAAATTAAACTACGCAGAGATTAAGGAGAATAATTCTATCAGCATTTTTTTTTTTTTCTAAAGAGTTATGAACTAGGGGAGAAATGAGGAGGAAAGACAAAGCATATTTAATGGTGTAGACCATACTGTTCTGCCAGAAATTCTTCCTTGTTTTTAATTCTTTTCATCTCTCCAGAGACAGCGTTTTATAGAACATTCAGAAGGAAGACATAAAGGGCTAACATCTTTGGAGAAGATAAATATGTGTTATCTGAGAATAACCTGAACCATCATTTGCAAATGACATAATAATCATCAAGAAATGCTGAAACCAAAGAATAGCGGGTTATTGAGTTCCACGGTTTTCTTTGAATTTTTGCCGTATCTTTGTTTTGTTTTCCTTGTGGGAGAAGGCCATTATGCACATATCCCAAAGGATTTTGGAGAGTTGGCTTGTTCTGTTCTGTCTCCACACCTGGCTAAATACTCTTTGGCACTATACAGCTTGGGTAAGATTTGGATTTATTGACCAATAGGCTGGGGGTGACTATGTCAAAGGAATACATTCAATCATTTTTCAGAAAGCTAAATGAGCAGGAGGATTCCAAAGACTTAGGAATCTTAAAAATTTGAAAATTGACTTAGCAAAACCACATCCAGAAATTTATATCCAGGAAGCAGTGGAACAAGTAAACAAAGTTGCAAATGCAAAGTTGTCCGTTGAAGAGTTATGAGAATAGTAAAACTAGGAAGCAACTTAAATGTACGGGGAAATTTTAAAAGTTTAAAAAATTAATTATGGGGGCTGGGCATGGTGGCTCATGCCTGTAATCCCAGAACTTTGGAAGGCTGAGGTGAGGGGATTACTTGATCTTAGGAATTTGAGACTGGCCTAGCCAACATAGTAGAACCCTGTCTCTACTAAAAATACAAAAATTAGCTGGGCATGGTGGCGCATGCCTGTAGTCCCAGCTACTTGAGAGACTGAGGGAGCAGAATCGCTTGAACCTGGGAGGTGGAGGTTGCAGTGAGCTGAGATTGCGCCACTGCACTCTAGCCTGGGCGACGGTAGTGAAACCCTGTCTCAAAAAAGAGAAAATTAATATATGGTTCATTTATTGAATGGAATATTATTTAACTATGAAAAACTAATGTAGATATATATTTGCTTGGATGAAGAAATTTCATAGTATATTGTTAAGGGACAAATCAGATATTTTACATATTATATATTTAAAATAGAATTCAATTGTGGTATTCTTTTGACAATTAGTTTTTCTTTCTGATCACCTATGATTTTAACTTTTTCTATAGAAAAACTAGGACTATAAAAAGTTTAATCAACATGAAACACACATATTTGAAAGTGTCTCCCGTAAGATTTTCTCACTTCCTTTTATACAAATAAGATGTGTTTGTATGTGCATGTATGTGTATAAATAAAACATTGTTTCTGAGAAAATTCTCTGGTATCTTAGTATTTAAATTAAGGGAGAGACCTTTAAGAACAAGAGTAATTATGCCACTTCTCTGCTCAAAATTCCCCAAAAGCTCCACATGTTAAAGCTACAGATCTTTAAAACGACCAAGAAAGTCCTACGTGAGTTGACCCTTCATTGCTTGTTTGCCTGCATCTAGTACTTTCCTTCAGTTCACTCTGCTTCAGCCACACCCACTGCTGTCCCTAGAACTCTCTAGGCTTGTTTCTTTCCTACGACTTTTGCACTTGTGGATCCCTTTGCCTGGAATGCTGTCCCCCCAGATTCTGCCTAACACTATCTCTTTCAATCTTTGCTCAAATGTGTTCTTAATGAGGCCTGAACCACTTAAAATGGCAACTTGCCCATTTTTCTCAGTACTCCTGATCTTTCTTGTTCTGGTTGAGTTTTTTTCTACTGGACAATATAGTATTACTTCAGTAGGGAGTCTAATGATGATCATTGTATTAAAAACACTCCAAATTCCATGAATTGTTTGGTTGACAATAAAGAGGTTGATAAACTTCAGATTTTGTTAATTATGTATGTTAAGTTTCTGGGAAGTCATAAGAAAAATAGAAATGGATTATATATATTTTTCAAGCTTTTAGAGGAGAATAAAGCAAAGAAGGGTAAAAATATCAGTTAATCCAAAAGAAGTCAAGGAAAAAGAAAGAAATGTAGAAAAAGCAGGATAAAATGAAAGCACAAAATAAATAAATAAATAAATGTTTATAATAAATATAAATTAGCTAAATTATCTATTTAAAAGCAAAACACTGTCAGACTGGATCACACATCCCCCCACACACACCCACACACACACCCACACACACCCCATAACGATACCAAAAAGGTGAAAGTAAAAGGATAGGAAAAGATAGGTAAATATGTGTGAAATGAAAGCAGGTATAGCCGTATTACTGTTGGACAAAATAGACTTTAAACAGGGTAAAAGAAAACCAGTACATAGTTAATTTAAAAAGAATGAATTTATCCTTCCTAGAATAGTAACATAGCTTTACATACAAAAAGCAAAAATTAATAGAACTGCAAATAGAAATTGATATAGTTACTATGTATACACTGTGTATTGAACTGGTAAATATCACCTTGGAAAATTTTAATGATCTTCTCAGGAATTTATAGATTAAACCAACAAAAAATCATAACAATATGGAAGAGTTCAACAACGTAATTAGCAAGCTAAATCTAATGAACTTATATAGAAAGTGGAACCCTACAACTGATGTAGATCCATCCTTTTCAAGTTCATGTGAATCATTTACAAAAACTGACTAAATTCCAGGCCATAGAGCAATAATTCAAATAATTAATAAGCTATAGATCATGTTTTTGTTTCTCTCAAGACAGTTATGTTAGCGATCAATAAGATGATACAAGATAAAATAAATTCCCTATATTTGGAAATTAAAAAAACCCCAAGCCTCAAACACTTGTATTATAAAAGAAGAAATTTAAACATTTTGACCTAATTCAGTGTCTTCAGAAATTTGAACAAGCACAGTAGAATAAGCATAATAAAGCAAAAAGAAGGAAATAATAAAGATAAGAAAGGAATTAATAAAATTAAAAATGAGATATAATAAACAGAAGAAGTAAGATATAATAAAGAGAATAAAGAAGTTCATTAGTAAAAGATGATATAATAAAGAGAATAAAAAATAAGATCATAATAAAGAGAATAAAAAGTAAGATATAATAAAGAAAATAAAGAAATTCATTGGTAGAAGAAGAAATCACACTGAAAATGAGAAAGATTTGATAGGGAATAAGAGAATTTGTGGTTAAGTATGTGAGGCGATAGACATGTTAATTAACTTGATCTAATCATTCTATAGCATATAATACATAAAACATCACACTGTACCCTATAAATGTATGCAATTATTATTTGTTAATTGAAATGTTTAAAAAAGAAAAAAAAGAGAACCTGTGGGAAACTTATTGTCTTGAAGACTTGTATTATAAAAGAAGAAATTTAAATATAATTGGCTTAATCCAGTCCTTTTAGAATTAGAATGAGCACAGTAGAATAAACATAAACAAAGTAAAAGGAAGGAAATAATAAAGATAAGAGAGAAATAAATAAAATTAAAATAAAATACAATAAAGAAAATAAGTCAAAAGTTGACTCTGAAATACCAGTAAAATTACCAAATAGATGGCAAGATTTGTATTAAAAAGAGAAAAGCCACAAATAAACAAAATGAGGAATGAAAAAGAGGACATAAATACTGATGCAGCAGACATTAAAAGGATAAAATTACAAATAATTTATGCCAGTAAATTTAAAAACAAAGTGGAAAAACTAGAAAAATGTTTACCCTAATTGACTTAAGAAGGGTTTAAAAACCTGAATGTCCTATAACCACTAGAGAAACTGAATCAGTAGTTTTATATCTTTTCACAAAGAAAATACCAGATCAGAGACCTCTTCTGCTGAATTCTGGAAAACATTCCAGGAAGACATAATATCAGTCTTAAGAAAATTATTTTGGATACTCTCTATTTCATATTGTAAGAATGGTATAATCTTGATATCAAAACCAAATAGAGTAAGAAAAGGAAAAGTGCAGACCAATATCATTCATAAATATAGATAGAAAAATTCTAAATAGAATCAAATTCAACAGTGCACAGAAAAGTAGATTGCATAGTTATCAAGTTGAGTTTATTCCAGGAGTGCATTGTGTTATCTTTAAATATGTTTTACCACATCACAGATGAAAATATTAACCCAAAAATGAAAGTATTGATAAATATGCTTATATTAAAATTAAGATCTGCTTGTCAAAAGATACCTTAAACAAAGTGAAACACAGGATTCAATTTGAGAGAAGAAATTTTCAGCACATGTAATTGACAAAGATTTTTACTTAATATATGAATTATTTTTAAAAAATCAATTAGAGGAAGTCAGGCAATCCAACAGAAAAATGGGCCAATCATATGACCAATCACTGCACAGAAAAGGAAACAGAATGAATACAAAATTATGAAAGGATACTCGACCATATTTGTAATCAGGAAAATTCATATTAGAACTACAATGAGGTACAATGGGTTTATACGCATAGTGGCAAAAAGTAAAATGTATAATACCAGTGGTTGCTGAGAATGTAGATAAAGCAGAAACTCTTATACATTGATGATCATAATATCAATTGGTACAAAACTTTGGAAAATTTGGAATTATCTGATATTGCTGAAGATGTGTAAATCTTACAACCTAGCAATTACACTTCTACTTTCATACTTAAGAAAAACTCTTGCTCTTGTGGATCAGAAGACACACCTAAAAATATTCATGGTTGCATTGCTTATGATAGCCCCAATCTAGAAGCAACCCAAATGTTCAATGGCAGGAGACCAGACAAACACATTGGGGAATTCATACTGTGGAAGACCACACTGCAGTCGAAAATGAATGAACTACAGCTACTCATATCAACATGGATGAAGCTCACAAACAAAACATGGAGTGAAAAAACAAGTCGTAAAAGAGTAGAAACAGAATGAAAAAATATAAAAAACAGCCAAAATTAAATAATATGTTTTTAGAGTAATGAAAATATGTGGTGAAATATTAAGAAAAGCAAGGTAATGATAAACACATTTTAGGATTGAGGGGAGAGAGGTGAGATGGGGCAGGACTACCAGAGGCACAACTCCAGGGCACTCTTACCACTATAGGATATACGAACGATGAGCCTTGGAGTTAGGAAACATGGTGGCTTTTGGGAGGGGATCCAGGGACTTTAGCAAAAATGGCAATGTTCAGGTTTTTAAGCTGTGTGGTTGATTATAATATATGCCCTTTTGTAAGTGAAATAATTAACAAAATAGAAAAAGAAGTTTAAAAAACTTTCGGATAGTGAATGTGAGTTCTTGTTCCAGCACCATCTCTACTATAAAAACTGTGTCATCTTTGGTAAGTCACTTAGCCTCACTGAGCCTCATTTTTCTTGTTTTAATAAATGGTTATAACAAATCCAGCCTTACCTATTTTATAGGATTGTGCAAGGATCAAATGTACTTTAAAGCATTTTACATGTTATTAATGAAATGAGATATTCATATGCAACAGTTTTCCCACATGTGAATTCAAAGGTTTATCTCTCCAAACTTAAATATTTATCAAACTCCAAACTTAAAACCCACATGATGAAAGATGAGGATGATTAATTTAATCGTGCAGCGTTTCTTCTTCCAGTT